ACAGCTTTTTGTATGTCACTACAAGAGCTGTTGGGTGCAGTGGAGGTAATAATGGTGAGGAAAATCCAACAGAGGAACTTCAAGGTGCTTCATCTTTCCTTTATTTTTTTCTTCAGCTTTGATAATCAAGCCCATAAAAGAAAGATAAGCAGCAAAACCACTGCTGCTCATCAGTTCAGTATCACTAGAGAGGCTTTTGGCTATTTCACAGTTTTAACTCATTAAACCCTTATCAGCCAAAGCTTAGCTCTTCATTTATTTAATGAGCCACTGAATGTCATTAACGACATAACCTTGGACAGACTGCTCTCAACCAAGAGCCCACTGTCAGTGCTGACTCCACTGTCCCAGGTTGCTCCAAGCCCTGTCCAGCCTGGCCTTGGACACTTCCAGGGATCCAAGGGCAGCCACAGCTTCTCTGGGCACCCTGTGCCAGGGCCTCACCATCCTCACAGGGAAGGATTTTCCCAATTAAACTATTTTCCCAGTCAACTTCATGTGAGCTCTGATACGGCAGCTGATGGGTGAAAGAATCTCCAGCCTATTATTACCCTCCACTCTACAGTTCCCATTTCCTGAGCTTTTTAACTGAGTCCACTACACCAGAAAGAGTAAAATGAAGGTAACATTAATCAGTGGGTGTCTCTTACCCATAAAGTTTAGAATAAATATATATTTATATCTAGCCATCTATTTGTTAAAGTAGGGCATTACTTTTGTTGTACCACTTCCAAAATCGCTATTCACTATTTAGCAGCCTTCCTGCAAGACACAAAATCCATTGTGTAATAATTTCTAGCAGGCTGCAGGAGTGTAAAAGTAGACAGTGTTTCCTTCAAAAATGGAATCATCTTTCACAGATGTAGATGTGTACTTGTTATGCCAAGATGAGACAGATGTGGCTCTATTCACTCAGGGACAGGTGCGGAGGAAGAAGAGATAAAACATTTGTAGAAAGTGTAAGCAACTGCATCGCTGTTGTTAAATAAATAAACATTCTGCCAAAATGAAAAAAAAAAAAGTTTATTTGCTTATTTTTTTTTCCCAGAATGTTTATTTTAAGCTGCAGCTTAGCTGTGATTTATTCAGATTTATGTTCCCGTATCAATTTAAATTTATAATATGCATTCTATATATAAACATCTGTTTGTATATAATCAGGGGAAGGTGCATTGGCACATATGGGTGTAAATGCACACACACATTTTTCATGGAAAATGGGCTCACAGGCACGTGCAGGCAGCTAATCAGGTGAAGATGGGAAAATATTTTATTAATATAATGAGGCTTTGTGTGTGCATGAGCAGGGGGTGGGAGGGAGAGGAGAAGCAGATGCTTGTGTTGCCTAACACAGATGAAGCTGGTTCAAGCTCCAAATTGCAGGAGAAAAGCCTAATTGCCCTTTGACCACACGGACACTAACAGGAAACCTCCATGCAGAGACATCCTTGGGGAAAGGGTAGGATAGTTTGGGCCATAGGAAAGAGCTTAAAGCTGGTTAAAAGCTGGCTCCTGAACTCAGAGCTCGGGAGTGGCTGTGGAACAGAAATGAGAGTGATGCTGGGGGTCCTCATGGGGAGGGAGCAGAGTGCAGAGCAGGGACAGTAGGTGGTTCCATTGTTGGGAGATTTATTCCATTTATTAACTGCTTTATCTGTTGGTTTAGTTTTGTTTCATCAAAAACACTGTCGCTTGCTCAGCCAGACAAGGTGGGAATGCAGGGAAAGTCAAAAGTCACCGAAATGAAGGGATAATGGGCAGATCATGACATCAGCTTGTCCTCTAACCACAGGAAATCTCCATGCCTGAGCTGGAGACACCAAAATCACTGTCCTTGGGGACTGCTGTGTTTTCCTTGTGCTTGGACTGGGGAGCCATCATTGGGTCCTCGTGCTTGGACTGGGGAGCCGTCATTTCATGATGAAAGCGAGAATGTTTCTGTGTTTTGGTGAATATATGGTTCTCCTGACAGCTACTGTAGGGTTAAGAGGCCTGGGCCAAGTTTTTTGGTCCATGAGGAGAATTCATAGTAGTCACAAACCATTAAAAAAATGTGCGAGGCAGGGCTTGTCCTGCAAGGGAAAGCAGCTCACCCCATCCTGACCTCCTCTCCCCCGGAGCACAGGCAGGCCCTCTGCTCGCTGGCCATCTCCTGCTTGCCAAGAGGATCCCTCTGGACCACTGATTTTTGGCATTCACAGGATTTCAGGCGCTCCACGTGAGGTCATCGAGCAGGCGGAGCCCAGGCGTCAGCGGGAGCCTGGAGATGTTTATCCCAGGCTTTCACTGCATCATTTTGGAGAGCCCCACGTGCTCCCTGTGAAACTCAGAGCCCTCAGGTCCCTTGGCTAGCACTGCTGGGTCCGTATTGCCCATTTGGTGCCCAGCTTGATGCTCGTTTGCAAGCGGGGTTCATTAAGGAGGCTGATTCCAGGGATTTGAGGGTGCCCAGGGCCTCGTTCCTCCCAAAGGCAGCAAGAGAGGATAAGTGCAGACAAGA